AAACCAACCCCCACTCAAAGCTTGTGTTCATATAAGTTAATAGCCTATAAATATTTATGTTTCCATAGCAACAAGATTTAAATCAATCTTATACAGATTAGTATCCCACGTGAAATTGTAATGAGAATCCGGCTATAAATATTCGATCATTCATGGAAATGCTGATTTCCTAGTAACATGATCCACAAATCTAGCAACATATAATAGACTGGTAATTTTTCCGATAAATTAATAAATTAATCAGGTAATAAATAATAAGCAATTAATTTAATTAATTAGTAGGTGATACATTTATTTATTAATCGTTATGCATTCATTTAGTATTCATTACTTACTTAATTACTTACTTACTTACTTACTTACTTACTTACTTACTTACTTACTTACTTACTTACTTTCATACTTGTTTTAATATTAACAATCATGTATTAGTTCACCATTGATTTATTTGTTTATCTCTTTGTTAGAGACAGGTACTTGTGAATTTATTAATGTGTTATTCACTTGCCAGATGAGAACAGCGTCCTCACCTGTTCAATGTATTTCTTTAAAATGGCTGATCAATGAACGATCACGGTATATTCCGGGGGATACTCACATTGAAGTGCTATATGTATATGTGCCACCAAAATGGGTCCCAAATTCACCACTTATGTCTGAAAAGGGGTATGCTATTTTATCCTGTCTGTCTAAAAAGGAGTATCCTTTTTTCATTATTTCTGTCTGAGAAGGGGTCAAATGCCCAGACTAATGGCGAGAGTAAATCAAACCAGGATATGGTCTGTCACTTTCTGATATACTTGCCCTGGACTTCCATTCTGTTTGCAACCCGGTTTGTGATAATACACATGTGTATGAAACTTGATGACTACATTTTGTATTTTTTCTTTCAAGGCCTACAGCTTTTTTGTTCGCGTGCCAATGCCCAACACATGCGATATATTCCCAACCTTTCAAGTGGTTTCACGTGTATGATTTTCTTCCATATTGTCAGCCGTAGTTAATATTTCTGACATCGACATGGGCTATCGTTAGGAATGTGAATTCACTTTCAATGAATCTGATCATGGAAGGTTCTAATAACGGTAGGAGTCACGACGCTATTGTTTTAGCTTTACCCCATGATCGTTTGTCAATGTTTGTTCACAAACATTGGTTCTCGTTAGCTCTTAGCACCTTCTTACAATGGATTACGCTAATCACGAGCACTCGGTATTATTCGGAGCATGTTCGGTAGCGTTAGACGAGCCTTGAAAATGGGGTCTAGTTTAAATGCTGTTGTTTCCGGAGATCTTAGCGAACTTTAATAAAAAAAATGGTAGAATTGAAGAATAAATTTTCGACCACCGGGCATCGGCGAACACCGCCAGAAAAGACAGTATCGAACGAAGGGTATGCCTAGACACTTTCTCTGTGATAATATTTTTTAGGAGTCTCAACATCTTGTTCTTGTTACAATTGCTAATAATTGAAACATGTT